AACAAATAAAAAAAGAAAAAGATTAAAAATAAAGCACAAACATAAAAAAAAAGAAAATAAATCAAATAAAAATCTAATCAATAAATTAAGAGAGTTTGTTATTATTTTTCAATACACTTTTATATTCAAATATATCTCAATCAAAAACAAATAAATTGTTTTTACCCAAGATTAAGCGTCAAATTTGAGAGATTAAGGCACTTTTCTAGGCTAAAACCTAAGTTTAATGCTCCTTTATTACCGATTTAGTTGTTACTTTTTAAATATTTAAGAAATAAAATATAGTTAATTAGTTAGTTACAAGGAAAAAATCAAGATAAAAAGTGAAATAATAAGAAATTCATTAATTAATTATAAAACAAAAGTTGAAAATTTAAAAAAACAAATAATGAAAAGAAAAAAAAAAACACAAAAAAACAAATAAAATAATAAAAAAAAAGAAAGTAAATATTATAAAATAAAATTCTAAAATAAATTAAAAGAGTTTCTTATTTATTTTTAAATTCATTTTTATACAAAAATATCACAATTCAAAAGAAATAAACTGATTTTACCCAAGATAAAGAGTCAAATTTGAGAGATTAGCACACCTTTCTAAACCAGAACCTAAGTCTGATGCACCTTTATCAGCAATTTAACTTTCTCTTTTTAAATATCGAAGAGATAATGTATTGTTAAAAAGTTGTTGAGAAGGAAAAATTCGAAATAAATTCGAAATAAATTAATTAATTCATAAAAGCAAATGATGAAAATGAAAAAATAAACGAGTTAAATTAAAAAACAAACAAATAAAGTAAGAAATTAAAAAAAACATAAACATAATAAAATAAAAAAGAAAATAAACCAAATAAAAAGCTAATAAATAAATAAATTAAAAGAGTTATTTTTTTTCAATCATTTTTATATTCGAAAACATCACTTCAAAAGTAAATAAACTGTTTTTACCCAAAATCAAGTGTCAAATTTGAGAGATTAGAGCATTTTCCTAAAGCAGAACTTAATTCGGATGCACTTTAAGCACCAATTTTATTGTTACTTTTATAATATTGAATAAATTATAAATAATTAATTAGCAATTTAGAAGGAGAAAATGAAGATAAAATATGAAATAATAAGAAATAAATTAATTCTTAAAAACAAAAGTTGAAAATCAAAAAATGAATTAAATTAAAAAACAAGCAAACAAACAATAAATGAAATCAAAAGAAAACACGAGCATAATATAAATAAATCAAATTTAAAGCCAATAAATAAGTAAATGAAAAGGATTAATTATTTTTAAAATTTAAAAATATCACAACCTAAATAAAACAAATAAACTATTTTTACCCAAAATTAACTGTCAAATTTGAGAGATTCGCACATTTTCCTAAACCTAAACTTAAGTCTGATGCACCTTAAGCACCAATTTTATTGTTACTTTTTAAATATTGAATAAATAATATATAGTAATTTAATTATTTAGAAGGAAATAATGAAGATAAAATATGAAATAATAAATTCATAAAAACAGAAGTTGAAAATCTAAAAATGAGTTAAATAACAAACAAGGAATAAAAGACATTAAAAAAAAACACAAGAACAATAAAAGAAAGAAAAAAAAAAAAATCAATTTATAAGTTCATTAATAAATTAATAGAATTATTTTTTTTATTTCATTTTTAAAAATATCACAATCTAAAATAAATAAATAAATTGTTTTTACTTTAGATTAAGTGTCAAATTTGAGAGATTAACACACTTTTCTAAACATGAACCTACTTCTTATGCACCTTTATCACCAATTTAATTAAGTCTTTTTAAATATTGAAGAAATAAAATATAGTTAGTTAGTTACAAGGATAAAATGAAGATAAAATGTGAAATAATAAAAAATAAATTAATCAAAAAAATCAAAAGTTGAAAATCAAAAAATGAGTTAAATTAAAAAACAAACAATGAATTTAAAAATAAAAACACAAGGATAATAAAAAAAAGTAAATAAATAAATCAAATAAAAAGCTAATAAATTAAAAGAATAAGTTAGTTTTTTCAATTCATTTTTATATTCAAAAATATCACAATCCAAAACAAATAAATAAATAAACTGTTTTTACTATAGATGAAGTGTCAAAATTGAGAGATTAACGCACTTTCCTAAACCAGAACCTAAGTTTGATGCACCTTAAGCACCTATTTCGTTTTCACTTTTTAAATATTGAAGTTTAAATAATTAGTTAGAAGTAAAGAAATAAAATAATAACAAATAAAGAGCTAAAAAAAATTAAAAAATATTAAATTATTTTAAATTCCTTTATATATTCAAAAATATCAACAATCCATCCAAAAAAAATAAACTGTTTTTACTTAAGATCAAGTATCAAATTTGAAAGATTAGTGCAGTTTGATAATCCAAAACCTAAATCTGAAGCACCTTTATTTTTAATTTATTACCTACTTTTATTATTGAAAAAAATATAGTAAATTATTTAGTTAGAAGCAAAATATAATAAAAAATATAAAATATAAAAGTTAAATAAATAAAAATTGAGTAAAAATTAATTTAAAATAATTAAAAAATAATTTTTAATATAGGAATAAATGAAAATTGATGAGTATTTATATGAAAAATAATGTTATTAATAACTTGAAAATTAAATATAAAAAGAAATTAATAATCGTGAATGAATTATACCTCAGTTCAATATGCAGAATCTAATGCGATTAAAATGTGGATTATAAAAACTTTTTTAATAAAAATAATAAATTGAAGCATTATTAATAAAAAAATAATAAATATTTACTTCTTCTAGATTGTTAAAATATTTTTTCTCTTATATCATTTATTTTTATTTTTTTTTCAAAAATTATTGAATAGCAATTTATTAAAAATTTAATTCATTATACTAATACTTATTTATTAATTTACTTTTATTTCTTTAATTTTTTTATTTGGTCAAATAAAAGAAAGAATTATTATAATAAATAGATGAAAGAAAGAATTATTATAAAAAATAGATGAAAGAAAGAATTATTATAAATAATAGATGAAAGAAAGAATTATTATATTTAATATATGAAAGAAAGAATTATTATAATAAATAGATGAAAGAAAGAATTATTATAATAAATAGAAGAAAGAAATAATTATTATAATAAATAGATGAAAGAAAGAATTATTATAATTATCAAATACAATAATAGAAATAAGAATTAATATAATAAACAAATATAAATAAAAATAGAAGAAAGAATTATTTTAATTATCAAATATACATACATTTTTCTATTAGCTTTAACGAAGAGGTGTGACAAAAGTTTTAGTATAACATTAATTAATTAATTAAAAATCTTAATTTATCAAAACTTGCCTGAATTTTTAATCTAGGTAAAAATAGTTGCTCCATGATAAAACAAATAACCACAAAAGTTAAAATAAAAAGTAAAATTTGATTTCTCCCAGAGGTTTTATTTAAATCATTATATTTATTTAATCATGATAAATAAAAAAAGATAGAAATATGATTGATGGATAATATTACAGATTAAAATATAACTGGAATATAAAAGCTTGGCATTTATATAATTTATTAAGAAATAATATAACACTAAAAGTTTCAAATTATTTGATCGTTTTTGGAGAAACTAAAGGGTTGCTTAAGAGGAATTAATTAATTTAAGTAAATTTAATTTTTTATTTTTTATAAATAATTTATTTACTTACAAAAATAGAAATGAATGATATTTAAAAATATAAATTAATAATAAAATCTATCTATTTGTTTATATTTTAGATTTTAAAAAACTTTTCAAAATATTATATAATATTATTCAAATATTTAATATTTATTCATCGTTTTTTTCGTGATTTCTTTGTAATCAGAATAATTTTTTAAAGACAACTAATCTTTTTGATTTAAGACACTAGCTTATAACTTTGAATTTTTATGATTCATTGATTTGGCTAATATTTTATAATAAATTTGTGTAAATTTTAAATAAATATCAAAATAGAATAAACTTTTAAATTAAAAAATATTTCTTAAATTAATAAATAAAATAGCATTAGTGGTATAATAAAGATAAAAACATAACAAATAAAAACTATAAAATAAATTCAAAGAGTTTTATTGTTTTTAATTAGTTTTTAAAATTCAAAATATCACAATCCAAAACAAAGA